TTTCTGGCTCACTGGCTCTTCTGGAAAAAACATTCGGGGGGCTTGGCAACCAACTCCTGAAATGTTCAGGAAACTTAAAAGTAGTGCTGGGGAGGTAGTTTGGGGTCAGAATAAATTGGCTTCTAATGTTGAGCATTTGGGGGAGGTGGCGTGGGTTTTTTTACATAAAAGCAAAGGAAATATTGCAGCAAAAAGTGCTTTCAAACTGCGTTTCCTTAAAAATGTCGGAACATTTCGCCTTTTCCCCCCTGAGATGAAAAACTCAGCCAAACCAAGACGCATTTGCCAAATGTGTTGGGGTCACTGGATCATCCTTTTTTCCAGTCCAATTGCAAAACATGCCAAATTTCACCAGGCACGAGCTAGGTCCTGCATGGAGTGGCTCAGAGCCTGGGTGTACAGACTTGGGCTCGGGCTGAAGTGCAGTTGCTCCCGTTCGGACTGGACCTTGAGATAGGACACCCAGGGAGGGGGGTGGGTGCCAGACCCCGAGCTCCAGCCCAGATGGGGACGTCTGCATGGCAGTCTTTAGTGCCATAGTGTGACCCCCAAGTCTATAGACCCAAGTTCTGGGATAGCAAATGGAATACAGCGTACCAGGAGGGCATACCAGCCATGCCACTGTGGATGTGAGTTCAGCAGCTGCCCTAGGCTGGTTCTTTAAGCACCAGGAGAGAAGACAGCCCAAGGAAGGCAAGATGCCATGGGAGTTGGCTGGTGAACCAGTAGGAAGTGCGCCTCCTACTGGATGAACACCTGGCCCCACCATAATCATTAACTTCAGTGTGACCACATATGTCCCAGCAACGGGGTGGCACTTGCCTGCCCCAAGCACCCCCAGCTGGCTGGGTGTGTTTGCCTGCACTGTCTTTTTAAAAGCCTTTTGGCAGCTCAGCCCACTGGCCGAATCTCACAGCCTCGGGTGAAATCATACAGCCCACACAGGGCGGTGTTGCCTAGCAGTTAAAGCATATGGCGAGGAATCAGGAGAACTGCAGTCTATCTCTGACTCCCCGCATGGCTGGGGGCAACTTGCAGCCCGTGTAGGTTCTGCGCTGGGTCAGAATTTCACCCTGCTCTGCATAATCAGGCAAGTCCCAGGAGCTAGGATAACACCTCTCCACTCACTGCTAGTTGCTTTCCCTCCTCCCCACCTGCTTCTGGTCCATTAATCTCAAGGCTCCACACGCCACAGCAGCCAGGACAGTTCTGCTACTGCAGTCCAATGTGCTAGTACACAAATAGCTGCGTGGAACCACACGACACAGTTCCTTTTGGGTAGAAGCTTCTGGGAAGTCACGTGGATTTCAGTATGATCAGTAAAATGTGGCCACGATGCTAACAAAGGCCTCCCTAAAATGTTTCCCCTTTAATCTGTGACAGTCCATAGATCTCAACAGTGGTAGTCAAGATCCAGAGGGGTGACTTATGACCTCAGCAGCTCATCTGAAACCCTGCCTGGCATGGAAGGGAATCCAGCTACTTAACTGAGAAGCGTGAAAGGCCCTGCTGGGCTTGGGATGTGCGTTATACCTGTTGCTTAATGAACTAAATCCTCCCCCTTAGCTCTCATGCTGTTCCCTACGGGCATGTCTACACTGCAGGGTGAAAGCCAAATTAAGCTACGCCACTTCAGCTACGTCAATTGCGTAGCTTAAGTTGAACAGGAGCAGTCTGAAGCCAGCTGTGGCAGCTGGTGCCCCAGGTGGAAGGCGCGATCAGCGCCCCCACCTGCACGGCCATCAATGGCCGTGACGTCATCATCGGGTGCCCGGGTGCCCCATGATGTCATCATCGGGCACCCTGGGCCAGCAGCGCCCTAGGTGATTGCCTAGTCTGCCTAGGCTCACGGGCTGCCCCTGAAGTTGAAATGATTAATTTGGCCTTTCGCGCTGTCTGCACAGCAGGAAGTGGAAGGAAGAGCTCTCTTCCCCTGACTTCCCTTCCTCCTCGTGAAATGATGGTGACAGGAGTCGAGTAAGAAGTCCTCCAGCTCGATATGACTTCGAAATAACGGCTTGCAGTGTAGACAGGCTCTTTGTTACTTCAGAATAACACCAGTTATTCCAAAATAATGCTGCTGTGTAGACGGACCCTAAGATGTTCTGGTTCAGCTCTGATAGCCCGTATCCAGTAACCCTTTCCTGACTGTGTTCTTCTGCCACATCAAGGGATGTTTGATCCTTTTCCTTCTCCATTTCAGGCTGCGCCTCCGATTCGGCTCCGTTGTCACTCCCAGGTGAGACCTTATTGAGAACTGTGTTTGGACAAGGAGTTTTGTGCCTGAAAAATGGGATTTTTGTCAGAAATGAAGGTATGGGAGTGGGGAGGGGGATGAAATGTTGCGCTTTGCTTTGGACGGGGGAAGGGTTTAAAATGAAAATTTGGACGAACCCTTCACGTTTGTTGCAGAGGCAAAATAACCGTTTCCTGACGGGTTCTCTTTACTGCTGGAAGCCATAGGGGTATTTGCAGCTTCCTGAGCTTGCTCCATGCCATCTCTGATGGGCAGTGCCTAGGGCTGGGCGCCCGTGGTTCTGGGGAATGACGGACTGATTCGGTGAGACAAGCAGCATCATTTATACAGACGTGTGTTCTGTTATCTGATTAAGTGACAGGTCATTTGTGTGGGGCTGATTTCAGCCCAGGCATTAGCCAGAGGTGGTTTTGCTGTGAGTATTAGCAATTTGCTACCTGGACCAGGTGTCAGATCATCCAAGTCACATGATACCATTTCTCTTCTCTCATTGGACAATTCCCTAACCCAACAAGAGCTTTCAAGGTGACCAATGAAGGTGTCCGGTGCAAAGATGTATTCATGGCCCTTGGCTTCGCTGAAACAGATAGACACCCACTCATGAGAGTCAAAGCAAATGCCAGCTGGACAACAACCTACTACTGGTATCAACTAATGGAGCTGCTCCCTTTGCTTATGTGGTAGCAGTCTGGGATTTGGAAGGCCATAGGCGCAAACCTGTTGCTGGCCCCAGGGGTCGTAATGTGTTCATTGCTTCACAGGTTACTTGTCTCACTGTGACCTTCCTCCTCGCAGAGGTGCGGCTGGTGAATGGGTGGAGCCGGGCCCAGGGGCGCGTGGAGATCCTCTACAATGGCTCCTGGGGGACGGTGTGTGATGACGACTGGGACCTGGTGGACGCCAACGTGGTGTGTCGCCAGCTCGGCTGCGGCCACGCCATCGCCATGCCGGCCACCCTGACCTTCGGCCACGGCCGGGGGCCCATTTTCCTGGACAACGTGGACTGCAAAGGGAGGGAGGTGGCCCTGAGTGAGTGCGGGAGCCGCGGCTGGGGCATCCACAACTGTTACCACTACGAGGATGTGGCCGTCACCTGTAACGGTAAAAAGGTTTGGTTCCATCCAGCAGCGGGGGCGGGGGGCCGTGATGGGGGTCACATGGCGTCCAGTGACTGGGTGTCTTCAGACTCACCCACTAGGCCCAAGCGGCCTCTTATTTCCACTCCCTCTTGGGACTGGCTCATGGGGCTTCCATCCAGAGAGGGGGCTAAGCTCCCCCCGGCTTCTGGGCTCCGGGGGGAGAGGGTGCCGCAGGGCTGGGCTGTCAGGGATTGAATCACTAGGGATGGGCCAAGAGCATGAATCTTTCCTAGGGCCTGGCTCAGGTCTCCCTCCATGTTTTCCCTTTCTCCTCTGCCCTTTGCTCTCACTCCACCCTGGCCCGTGGCTCCGCATTCCCATCTGTCAGCTCTCTGACACCGCCCCCCCTTAGATTAGGTCTGTACTGCAATCCAATGCGAGGGCAGAGCATGTAGACATACCTGAGATAATCTGGAGCTAGCTAGCTTCAAGAACGATACAGGTTGGACCTCTCTGGTCTGGCACCCTCAGGACCTGACCTGTCCTGGACAAGGGAGTTTGCCGGACCAGGAGAGGCCTGGGAGGGGGGTGCCAGACTCTGCTCCCCCAGCTGTGGCAGCTCCACTGAAGATCCTGGTGGCTCTGTCAGCTCCACTGCCCTACGAGCTCCGGCCCCTCCCACCAGCTTCCCTGCCCCACTGGCTGTGGGCACTGGTGCCCCGTGGGCTGTGCTGCTCTGCTGGCAGAGCCCTCACGAGTCACCAAGTCCAGCCCCTGGCCCAAAGCAGGACCAACCCCAACTCAATCGTCCCATCCAGGGCTTTGTTAAGCCGGGACTTAAACACCTCTAGGGATGGAGATTCCACCCCCTCCCTAGGGATGCAACCTAGTCTTCCCCCTGCCACTTGAGACCATTGCTCCTCATTCTGTCCTCTGCCACCACTGAGAACAGCCTCTCTCCATCCCCCCTTCAGGGAGTTGGAGGCTGCTATCAAATCCCCCCTCACTCTTCTCTTCTGCAGACTAAACAAGCCCAACTCCCTCTGCCGCTCCTCATAGGTCATGTGCTCCAGCCACCTAATCTTTTTCATCAGGGGCGGATGAGAGTGCCATGGGGCCCAGGGCAGCACCGCGGGGCCCCAGGCAGCGAAATTTTGCAGGGCCCCCCCTTTGACATGGCGCATGTGCGGTGCCTCGGGAAGCGCGGGGCCCGGGGCAGCCGCCCCGCTCTCCCTGCCCTAAATCCGCCGCTGTTTTTCAATGCCCTTCACTGGACCCTCTCCAATGCGTCCACATCCTTTGTGTAATGGGGGGCCCAGAATCGGACACAACATTCCAGCTGTGGCCTCCCCAACGCAGAAGAGAGAGGAACAATCACTTCCCTAAACCTACTGGCAACGTTCCTATTAACGCAGCCCAATACGCTTCTTAGGGGTCTCCTGCTATTTGCTGGTTTTCTACCCAGCGTCTCACATCGCTGCTCTCCCCTGGGTTCCAGGCGCTGGGCTCTGGGTGTGCAGCAGGGGCAGGGAGTACAGGCGTGTGGGAAAGCTGCACTGAGGCCCAGCCTGCCTCTGGTTCTCTTGTCAGAGCTCTCCCCCACCCGAGCAAGCAAAGGGCCCAC